TGCTGGATTGTACTCAGTACTTGACAGCAGTGTGTACTGGTTGGTGTACTGTACGCACAGCAGTGTCTGTCTGTGCTGGATTGTATTCAGTACTTGACAGCAGTGTGTTTACTGGTTGGTCTACTGTACGCACAGCAGTGTCTGTCTGTGCTGGATTGTATTCAGTACTTGACAGCAGTGTGTTTACTGGTTGGTGTTCAGCATGGGCATCAGTGTCTGGCTCTCTTTTCATTGGGTGGTGTTCAGTACGGAATGCAGTCTCTGGCTCTCTCTGCTGGATGGTGTTCAGTACATGACGCAGCGTTCCTTCCTTTCCCTGCTACTTAACGCAGTGTCTCTCTCAGTTTGATCTGAGGTGTGTGTGTGTGGTGGTGGGGGGGGCGGGGTGGGGGGCGTGTTCGGGGTTGCTGACTGTCAGAGTGTAGCACTGGGGCTGCTGCAGTTGCCTGCATGCTCCCAGACCACCCTGTGAGGGGGGGGCTCATCGCCAATGGGTCGGAATGCTCACTGACGGAGCAGCCGTCATGCCCCCGTTCAGGTGGGTGAGATCCAGCCCATCATTCTGGCCAATATTATGTTTAATATTGATTAATTATAAAGAGTTAAACGTAGCACACAGAAGGAGAGAATTCATACCCGCTGGCTTCGCACGTTTCGCCAGCTGAAGTGGAACTGGGCAAATTAATCACTGAGTGAACATGCTGCTAAATGCATATTATAATGCATAATCATACATTTACTTATATATTTTGTATTGCCATTTTAACCCCAGAGTTGTGAAATGCAGAGAGGGAGGAACGTGGGGCCGTGAGGGGACTTGGCAGAGAGGGGGCGCTGGAGTGCTCATGGCTTACTGCTGCGTCACACCGCCCTGCCCGCTTTGCCCGCCTGTGTCATGCAGCACGTGTGTGTGTGTCTGTGTCTATGTGCGTGTCTCTGTCTGTGTTCGCGTCTCTGTCTGTGTCTATGTGCACGTCTCTGTCTGTGTCTATGTGCGCGTCTCTGTCTGTGTCTATGTGCGCGTCTCTGTCTGTGTCTATGTGCGCGTGTGGCCTGGCCTCTGTCTCGCTTGCTCTGTATTGAGCTCCTCATCTATCGTCTCACCGCCCTGTATCCCCTCCATGCCAATCAGCACTTTCACTGCTTATAAATGCCATTATGTGCATGGATGTCGGTACAAGGCCTGCCGTCCGACACTGGCGATGCTGGGATCCGCTGTCATACCCCAGAGCGTATGCAGGAGTTCTCGGAAAGACCGTTTGAATCCTCTGTATAGTTTGCGGTGGCCGATACACCCTACTATTCCCTGCTCTTCCCTACCGTTTCCTCATGTTTCTTGGTGTTTGTGTTTAATGTGCCCTATTAGTCATTTCCCAGTGTAGTTTTTTTTCAGTTGTTCTTTTTATTTGTAGTAAAAATGTCCTAATTGTTTGTAAAGTTCTCTCCAGTCTGAAACAGGGGTCCACCTTCACTGTACAGTAAGTGAAAGTGTGGACGAGCTAAGCACAGTGATCCCAAAGCCTGCACCGTCTCCTCAGTGTCTCCCCTGTTAGAATGGCACACATTTAAATACAGTGCAGCCCTTGCCATAGCCATCGTTCTCAGCTGGTTCCATGCATCGTGACGTCATCCCCAACACTGGCTTGGCCCGTGTACCGTGAGGCTACTTCCAAGCTGCGGTTTCCATGCTGCCTCTGTCTGTCTGTGTGCGATGCATGTGCTGGCTGTCAAGTAAAGCTCTTGCGCTCTCTCTCTCTCTCTCTCCCCTCTCTCGCTTTTGGCACGTGTCCCTCCCCAGGTGTTGCAGGGGACCACCATGCAGCAGCTCCAGCAAGTACAGGTAGCCCAGTCACAGGCCACGCCCATCACGGTAAACACGAGAGACACGCCCCCCTTCTGCCCAACATGCCACACCCACTTTACCCAGAGTCCTCTCGGGTGTTACCGGTGAAGAGTGGGTGATGCTGAAGGTCCTACATCACACCGGAAAACGATAAAAGGCGACATAATAAACAGCCTTCTGTTGCCATCGCTGTAGCCAGCTTTATTTTAGAGAACTTCAACCCCCCCCCCCCTCAGTTCTGAAAACCCCCGACTGTTCCTCAGGCTTTAATGTGGCTTCATGCTCAGCTCTTCCTGGGGGCATGGGGGGGTCATCAGTGTGTTTGTGGAGAGCCTAATCTCCCCAGGTCATCGTCGCTACACTGCCGTTACAAGAGGTCTTACTCTGCGGCCCAGTAATTAATTAAGTCCTGTATCCAGTGACATTCTCAGAAGGTACCGGATCGTCTGTCCCTGTTCCGTGACCGGGCCAGTGCTTGGGTCACAGACAAATCGAGGTGTTTGGTTTTCCCCCTCCCACATTGGTGTTATTTTCTCCGCATGTTTTGGATTTCATGTGCGCTGTCCAAGCTGGGGGGTGTCAGCGCGGACGCCCCCGCGGCCCCAGTGTGTTACGGTCATGCTTATGTCACTCCCACCTTTTTGTGGCCCCGCCCCTGTTACCCAGAGTGCACCGGTAACGATGCAGGTGGGCGAGGGACAGCAGGTGCAGATTGTGCAGGCAGCACAAGGGCAGGCGACTGCGCAGCCGGCCGGGCAGACAATGCAAGTCATGCAGCAGATCATCACCAACACTGGGGAGATCCAGCAGATTCCGGTGAGGGGGGCCGGAGGGTGAGAGGGTAGGGGAATGAAGCAGTTAGTGACGGCAACTATTTTTTCCGCAATCACTGGCTTTTAAATAGGTTAAACAGAAACGTGTAAAGCAGTGGATTAGTTTGCCACCATTTTGGTTCAAAATTTTTTATCTGAACAGCTAGCCTGACGTCAGTGTTTCTGCCATGGTTTGTTCTACTCTGCTGCACACAGCCTATAGTTTCTATCATTCCAGGGATTTAGTACACTTAGGGCCCTCATTCCCAGACAGCTCCCCTATTGCGCACTTAATTTTGTCTCCCCCTGGTGGCACTGTGCTGCAGGTGCAGCTGAACACTGGCCAGCTGCAGTACATCCGTCTGGCACAGCCGGTTTCTGGCACGCAGGTCGTCCAAGGACAGATCCAGACGCTGGCCACCAACGCCCAGCAGGTGAGGCACACCAGTGCAGGTCTGCTGAGGATACCATCTGCCGCCTCTGAATGCATTTCGAAATGTTTGAATAAATCCTTCAGTGCTGCTGTCACCCCGTAACACCGTGTTTGTAGATCACAAGTGCTTTGTTTTTGTTTTGCAGTCAGTGGACATTTTTTGCATAGAATTTTAGGTTTCTTTTTTCTTTAAGGTGTCGCAGATACTTCTATATGCTCCGCCTTTGCACCAGACATTAGACAGTTTGGTATTTTTTTCCCGATCAGTTGAGGTTTGCTGAAGCCCATGGCTTCTGTGCCACAAACACTGTGTCTTCTGTGCTGTCCCTGGGGTGGGGGGCAGTGGGGTGGCAGGTTTCTGTAATGCTTTTGTGACCTGTGACCTGCTTTTGTGACCCCCCCCCCCCAGATCACGCAGACAGAGGTGCAGCCGGGACAGCAGCAGTTTAACCAGTTCACAGACGGCCAGGTAAGGCAAAGCAGAGACCCGGGGGGGGGGGGGGTGTACAAACTGAATACAATCCAGCACAGACAGACACTGCTGTGCGTACAGTCATATGCAGGGATCTGTTTGCTTTTGAAAAACTCCAATATAATAGTTTGTTTAAAAAACCATGGATATAATTCAGGTTTTTATTTTAAAAGTTTGCAATTAATTATTTGTAGATAATTTGTTTGTGATTTGTTCATCACTGCGTTCTTAATGATGCTCCAGATGAGGCCCGGGTATGACCCTGGGTGCCCCC